GCGGCACGGGTATCCATTCCTTCTCCTGCAGATGCTTACCGTACCACGCGTAGATTATGGGATGCAGCCCCTTTGCTAACTTCCACGTGGTAAGTCTCACAAATCCCGTTGCAGGCGCGTCGTATTTACCATCCAAAGCTACGCGAAAGAACTGAGAGTCTGGGTGGCCGTAACGGTCGTAGTATTCCTTACAGTCACCAAGGCCTTTTAATGACGCAGGATAGCAGTGCTTCATGTCTAGGGAAACGTATTCTTCTTCGTCATACTCCATGTTCCAAAGACCGCCGTGGCCGTGCTCTACGCAGGCCTTGGCTATGTCTTTGAACTCTTTAGGGGTGGGTTTCCAGCCGTTTCTCTTTTTCGCGGCTAAGAAGTCCAAGCTGCGAGAGCTGAGGACTTCGTCTGAGAAGTCTTCCCCAAGGGTTTCACAGGCGCTTTGGATGCGCTGGTGTTCGATTTCCGGGCGATACAGAGTGCCGTCTTGAGTCATAAACTGGCTTCCTTCCGGATTCATTAACCATATTGAGTTCTCATGAATCAAGTYCACCAACGGGGAGGTTTCGTAGACCTTGGTTTCTTTCTTTAGCGGGAATCGAAGTTCTCGCCAAGCGTGTCCGTTATGCTGGTAGATGACTATAGGAGCACCTCTGCCGCCGTATTTATGTGTCCCGGGATAAATGTACCCGTCTGTGATGTCTTTCACATGTATGCGCCTTTCTAAAAGGACTTCTAGTTTTTTGATGTTGCCTATTGTGGCTCCAGCCTTGCGAGTAGCATGCTCCCATTTCCTTATGGCTTCTTTCCTCTTTAGTGTGAGCTTGCCGCCCCGGGAGGAATCCTCAAAGAACTCTCTTACCAACTTTCCTACGCAGTTGCCAGGATGTCGCATTGGTTTGAGCTTCTTTACGTCTGGTTCTCTAATTTCGTAGGCACTGTAGATAACGACGGTAACAGGGTAAGCAACTTCGTAGAACAGCATGTCGATTCCCACCAGCGCTCCTGGTCTGGTGTTCTTATTTAAGACAAACAGGTTCTGCTTACCAGACGCTCGGATAGGATTTCGGCCTTTTTCTATTACCCAGTCGCCGTCTAGGTACTTTATGAACGTTAATTCTAAGCGGTAGTTGCCTTCGGGCATTAAGTCGATTATCTTTTCAGCCCTTGCGTCGTCCATAGTCTCGTCCGTATCTCCCTCCATAAACGTCGTGAAGGCGAAGTCGGCGTCCAAACGATTCAGCACCTGGGTTCGCAGCCTGCGTACAGTTTTGTTTCGAATGCTTCTGATGTCGTCCATCTATATCTAGGAAATATTTTAACCCTCGTTTGTGACACTAAGAACAAATAATTTAACTTTTAGTAATACGGGGGCACCAGTAAAACCCATACGCAGCTTTTGGATTTGAATTGCGCGAGCAATACCCAGAAGGCCAACACGAATAATACCCGCGGGGGCCCCTCGTACGTGAGGGCGGGTAGTACCCGYGTAATTCCGGGGGGTGACCGCGAGTCCCCCTACCTGCTGCTTGCACCCCTACTATCCCTCTTTCTTCAAGATTAACTAGATAAATGGATTTTCAAAAACTACGTTTATTTAGCTTTCGATTCAAAAAATGTATGCTTTTTTGGCAAAAATATTGTAATTTGTGGAAGTGCGTATAGGGTCTATAAGGCATACATGTCCATTATAGGGGACCAAACATGACGTTTGACATATTTTTGATGAAGAGTAATACGTACCTACAGTCTGTTCACTCTACTGACTCAGTACATTTTAGTAGAACTTAACCCTTGATAGTTTCTTAGGGTCTGGCTAAACGAGGAAACATGTTTCCTTAAATGTTTCCAAAGGTGGCAAAACAGTCAGGAAACATCAGGGAAAGAGAGCAACATCGGTTAGCGCATSCGCACTTTCAAGACTGAGCGAGCGTTGTAAAGTAACAAACTTTTAGAATGTCGACTTTCGTGGCTAATCAAGGAAAAACCAGGGAACATTGTTTCCATGCGTCTTGGAAGCATGAAATGTTCCTGCCGCATAGCAAAAACATTTTTTCGTCTTGGAAGCAAAATTTGTTGCACGCAGCWATGTTTCGCAAGTGCGGGCTAAATTAGGAAACTTCGGGGAAACATGAAAGGTAGCCGTGCCTTTGCATCGAAGAACGGTGAGCTTCCAATGATAGAGACATGTGATTTGATGCAAGCTTACAGTTCGTCTCCCTTCCATGCAAAGGCACGGCTATCTTTCATGATAGCGCAGGGAACTTTGAAGCGGACTATTAAGGACGCTTATGGGCAAAAGATCTCTTTTTTTTTTTTTTAAATTTTAATTTTAATTTTGCACGATGAAAGTACATCATATCATACTAGAGGTAAAATAAGGAAATACAAAATTAGGGTAGCGACGTTTAGCCGTCAGATTTCATGATTCCGACTCCCCTTAGTTACCGTTGCTCAACAAATGTGTTAGAATATCTTAGAATTTAAAACTCTGATCACGGAAAATTTATTTGAAATTGTTTCAAATTGATAATTTATAGTTCTTTTTTTGGGGACAGGATTTTTATTCCAATGGAAACTGCTGCAACGGTGATTGGTTYGCTATTGTCCGAGTCGAAATCATGAGTACGTGAAAGTTCACCCTTTTTTGCGGTAAAAACGCGCAAATGTAAACACGGAAAGTTTTCAAAAAAAAGCTACTATTTTACTAAAAATTAATTGATTGTCCCTCTTTTTCACAGAACTCTAGAAAATAACCAAACAATTAGTTAGCATTTAAAATTTGAAAAATYAGAAGTATAAAATGTTATTGGGCTACGAGTGTGGACTTGGAACCTCCGCATTACGTGTCAAGGCTGGTTCACACTAGCGACGGAAGCGGAAGCGGAATCGGAAGCGGAGTCGTAAGAGAAGCTTACAAACAATCTAGTGTGAACCAATAATTGGAGTCGGAATCGGAAGCAGAAGGGCGACGGAACCGGAACCGGAAGGATCAGAAAGGTTTCTTTTTCTTCCGACTCCGATTCCGATTATAGCGCTCATGGATCAGGGTGAACCAAAGAATCAGAATCGGAATCGGAAGCTTTGACCAATGACAGAGCTCATACCCAGGCCATTCAGAGCAGAAAACATTTCTCAATCGTGAATTCTCAATTTCTCTCACAAGACTACAATTTTCGACGTACATTTTTCGTTTCGAGTGTATATTTTTCACCCAGCAGCTTCTTGGTCTTGACTGTAATCTTCGTCGTCGTCGCCGTCCCAAAACAAAGAGCAAAACGATCAAAAGAAGCAGATCATCTTCGTTGTTTATGTCATATCCACCATCTTTAAAACTAGTGGCAAACCTGGTAACTATGGGAACAACGATTCCGCTTGCGTTGTTTTGTTTCACACTAAATCGACGACGATTATGACGTCGGGGCAGTGACAAATTATTATTATTATTAATATTATCATTATTATTAT